TAGCGGACGAGATATATAAATTCTTACCACGATTGGCTCAGTGAATAAGGATAAGTTAAGGATAGAATAAGGATGTCTAGCAAATAAATAATAGTGGTATTGACAACAGTCGTTGCTTGAGCTGATCTGCTCTTTTACCAGACCGCCAGGCCACTTGCTTACTTTGGTGAATACCACTAATGTTATTCAATCCTGCATTCAACGTGATGAAATAGCATATTCGTCGATAAACACCGTTGTGGAAAAAGATGATCCAACGGAATTTTTGAGCTCGATTGATCTTCCAGGGAGACCCCACATACTGAAATTGAAAATAGGTGTGGCAATTATCATGTTGCGAATATTAATCAGCCAAAACTTTGCAACGGCCCGCGACTCGCACTTAAGAAATTGATGAAGAAAGTGGTGTAAGCAGAGATTTTAACATGGCCTTTCAAAGGTGAAGCATTCCCATGATTCCAACCGATACACCATTTCAATTAAAAAGATTCCCAATTCGATTGACATTATGGTTTAAATTAAGATGCGGATTGCTTCTCAGATGTTGCGTGTTCCTGTGTCGGCAAACCAAATATCCTTGATAACTATGCAGCGAATGGAAAAACAACAAGTACACAAGTACTTATTACATAACCAAACACATATGAAACGTATGCCTTTCGTTAATAATTTATCATTCATATAACAAGAATATGCCACAGCAAAGCGTGGCAGGGTACAGCTAGTAGCTTATAAATTATTTGAGCATCGGTTCTCTTTATAGCCAGATCTTGAACATTTCTACTTTGACGTTAAATATCAAATAAGGTAGACGTAGGGGGACAGTTTTACCACAGAAGTTTTTAGCCAAGGATCCAATGTATATCTCTATGTAAAAATATTCCCCGAAAAGTAAACAAAATTTATACTTTGAAATGTTTGTTAAAAACAAATTCCCCGAAAGAGCCCAATTTGAAATTATTGAAACGAATATACATATCGCACGCCTAGATCTAAAGTGCGGTCAACTAAAAAAAGGCGACTTTTTTGCATGAATCAATTCATAGGACTCACATCCAATTAATGGAAGTATCTTTTTCATGATTATATACACTAACTAAAAAAACAGGTATAATGTTTTTGAATAAATTGCGTTGAATTTGCACGATCCGCAACAGTTAATTTTCCCTCTCTGAATTTTGAGTGAGCTAACTCTACATGTAGGGGTGCGATATGTATCATCAAAAGCAAATCCCGAAAATTTGGTTTAAAATTATAGTGCACACTTTCTTCTTTTATGAAAAATAGTTTTTTTTAAGACTAGTCCAAGAAAATCATAATAAAGAGAAAAACCAATGCAGGTATTTAAAGCACAGAAAAAAAATCAGTGCGTGTAGTCCCTACGCGCGGAGAAGTGAAACTTAATAGAGAAAATTCAAGAAAGAAAGAAATATGCGATATACATACACATGTACATATTTTCTAACATACAAAATACATATTTAAGTATTTAGATTTTTTAACGGGCTTTAATTTGTTATTTTATATAACTGACTGCTAAGTTTAATTATTGTTTGTTGCTGGTAAAACATTCATATCAACAATATTAACTAGGGGATTGTGGTAACTAAAGTAAGATAATAAATATTTCGATATTATTATTATTTCCGGCAAAAACTACATCAATGGTAGTCCTTCCTTTGGTTGTTGGATCATTTCTACCATTAACAATTTTCAATGAAAATCTTCCTTTGAAAAATTTTATCAGTTTATCAGATTTGACCAGCGCAATGTTGACACTGAAAACTGCTGCGAAAATTGCAATTCGATCATAACAATCTACTTATCTTCATCTTCATCCTCATCTTCATCTTCATCTTCATCTTCATCTTCATCTTCATCTTCATCTTCATCTTCATCTTCATCTTCATCTTCATCTTCATCTTCATCTTC